AGAAAGAAAGAAAAAAGAAAGAATGAAGGAAAATGTGCTGAAGATTTTGTAAGCGATTTTAGAGGTCAAGCCTGGAGGCGGCAAACACAGACCATTTCTGTACCTACTCCATTTTCTAGAACTAGTCACATGACTCCAACTATTGGCCAAGGGTTCTTGGGAATCAGATCTCCCTGTGTGCCCCGTAATGCAAAGCAAGATAGTTGAGTTTCCGTGGTAGAGTCCTGGCACAACAGGTAACCATGTGACGTATTTTCTGTTAGTGGCAGATATTTCCTATAATTATCCTATTTGTACACTTCACTGTAAACTATTTTTGAAATTCTCTGTAATGAATTCCGGGACCAATAAATGACCCAAGAATTTACAAATCATTATGTTTCTTTCTCATTTTAGAAATTTGCAGAAAGTGAGGGAATCTACTCAGATGTCTACTTCTGAACATTTTGATGATGTACAGATAGCCAGCAAACAAGGATTTGAGGTGACGGTATCTGTGTGTGTGTGTGTGTGTGATGGAGTCTCACTCTGTCACCCAGGCTGGAGTGCAGTAACACGATCTTGGCTCACTGCAACCTCTGCCTCCCGGGTTCAAGCGATTCTCCTGTCTCAGCCTCCTGAGAAACTGGGATTACAGGTGCTCACTGCCACGCCTGGCTAATGTTTGTATTTTTAGTAGAGATAAGGTTTTACCATATTGGTCAGGCTGGTCTTGAACTCCTGACCTCAGGCGATCTACCCACCAAAGTGCTAGGATTACAAGCATGAGCCACCGCACCCGGCCTAGATGACGGTATCTTAATGTCCCCCTGACAGGCAGGATTCTATTAAAGAGCAGGTTTTTATGCTTTGCACCTTCCTGGTAGTCAGTAAATGACAAAGGTGCAAAGAAGTTAATGATCCATTGAAATTACGTCGGACAATCTACGAGTAGAGATTTTTCTTTTATTGCCCCCTAATAAATATGTCTTACTGTTGCAACCAGAATTTGTACTCAGTTCTGATGGGAAAGATAATGGCAGTTTTCTGTGTCTTATACCACCAAATGAGGAGACTTACTACTGCAGGTTTATTAATAATATTTTCCTTGAGCAGTTCTTTTGAATCATATTGGCCTCTGTACAGACCAAGCAGTTTGTTTATAAGAGTAAGCCTGGGGCCAGGTGTGATGGCACAGGCCTGTAATCCCAGCACTTTGGGAGGGCGAGGCGGGTGGATCACCTGAGGTCAGGAGTTTGAGACCAGCATGGTCTCAGAGACATGGTGAAACCCTGTCTCTACTAAAAATACAAAAAAAAAAAAATTTAGCTGGGCATGGTGGTGGGCACCTGTAGTCCCAGCTACTTGGGAGGCTGAGGTAGGAGAATTGCTTGAACCTGGGAAGCGGAGGTTGCAGTGAGCCAAGATCGCACCACTGTACTCCAGCCTGGGTGACAGAGTGAGACTCTGTCTCAAAAAAAAAAAAAAAAAAAAAAAAAGAAAAGAAAAAGAAAGAGCAAGCCTGGGAGAGTTTACAGCCACATGGACACACCTTGGGGCCGTGCTTAACTAAGCTTCAGAGTTAATATGTACCTTATGTTTTTCAGGGTTTCCTAGATCTATGGATTGACTTCGAATCCCATTTCTTCTGCCAGAGTTTAGCTATTTAACACATAGGGAAGCAATATGATTTTATGGTTGATCAGGTGGCCCACAGCGTGAAACTGAGTTTGAATCCTTATTCTGCCACTTAACCACCGTGTTACCATGGGCCCTATACAGTATGTGTTTGCTAGGGCTGCCTAGGTATTTGTGGTAAGAAGCATCACCAACTGGGTGGCTTAAGTAACAGAAGTTTACTTTCTCACAGTTCTGGAGGCTAGAAGTCTGAGATGGTATCAACAGGGTTGGTTTCTTCTGGGGCCTGTCTCCTTGACTTGCAGATGGCTGTCATTTCCTGTGTCTTTACATGATCTTCTGTGTGTGTGTGTGTCTGGGTTCAAATCTCTTTTTATAAGGTGACCAGTAAGATTGGATTTGGAGCTACTCTAATGACCACATTTTAACTTAATTACCTCTTTAAAGACCCATTTCCAAATATAGTCACATTCTGAAATACTGGGATAAGAAAGGTGCTTCCTGATGATGTTGTGAGCATTTGAAAAGAGGATGCATACACGTTTCCTCACACATTACCAGGAAGATGGTGACTACTCGCTACATATAACTATTTTTATTACAATTATAAAGTGTATTCTGTCTGTCTGTGTCTTCTTTTCCAGTTGTGAGATGGCTCTCTGCATGGCTTTTCAATTACTGAGGCCTGGGATTATTGTCGCCTTTCTTGCGCCCTCATAGCATCTTAAAATGCTGCCTTCCACAGAATAATAGGGCAAAAGCCCAAAGAATGTTGATCAAGTGGATGGGTATGAATTTTGTGCTCAGGATTTCTGAGTGGTCTTCTGTGGCTGTTGCTTTGGTGTCACTGTGGTGTCACACCATAGATGGCTGTGAAATGCTCTCCGATTTCCCGATTCCTGGAGTGGCCTGCCCAAAAACTAGACAAGGACCTGGAGAAGAGTAATCTCTCCATGTCAGGGACAGGAGACAGAAGTCGTCGTGCATTGTCAGGGGAGTAACTGTAAAATCACAGAACCAGATCACCAAACATAAGAATTATCCACACATTGGAGGCGATTTTTAAATCAGGCAGTGTGTCAAAGTGGTTGACTTGCCTGCAATTATTAGCTATCCCCAACATTTCTAGGCTTAATGAGAATCAATGGAATTATTTGATGCTGGTATTACGGTAAGTTGTCATCTCATGCCTAAAGAATTGACTCTTCTCTAAATTTTTGGTATTTCTTGTTTCAACTGGTATAAATGTTCTTTGCTTTAAAAAAGTACTGCTACTGTCACAACCCAGTCACAACCTGTGTTAAATACTAGCAAGCAGAGATCCACTAGGATCAGAAGGCGGCGGCCAGATTGCAGAGTCTCCGATATAAGTTGTCAAGGAGGCCAGTATGCAGCCCATCAATCCGGAGAAGCTTGGATATGCTGGGGAATAGTGTGCTTATTAAGTCTACACATGGCTATAGCATCCATCCATAGCAGATGAGTTACACAGGCTTCATTAACTAGACACAAAGGGCATATTATTCATAGATCATGCTAGATCACTCTTAGTGAATGAGGTCTTAAACTGTGAGTCAAGGACACCACCAGCCTCACCAACGAGCTCCTTTATCCTCCATCAGATCAGCTACCGAATCTGGTTAATTTTTCTTTTGAAATACCTCTAAAAATGTTTGTTCTTTTATTAAAAGGTTTTAAATAGTAACTATGAGGACTGTCACAAATAAAGAGTGTGATACAATAAGAAATATGTAGTTGGGCTTTGTCCCAGCTTCCTGGAATACAGCTCCTAAAACCCTTGGAATCTCCAGAGCGTTGAGTGTCTTTTGTATGGTAGTGAGAAGGCTGGTAGCTGGGAGCCCCTAAACCTTCAAGAGGGGATTGGACATGATTAAGACTAAGAAAGACTGACATGATTAGAAGGTTGGAACTTTCAGCCCCATCCCTGACCTCTAGGGAGGAGAGAGAAGCTGAAAATTGAGGTAATCACCAGTGGCCAGTGATGTAATCTCTCACATCTGTGCAGTAGAATCACCATAAAGCCCCTAAAACAATAGTGTTTGGATCGTTGCTGGGTTGGTGAATATACCGAGGTGCTGGGAGGGTGCTGTTCCCAGAGGAGGCATGGAAGTTCTGTGCACCCACACTCTGCTCCCATACCTTGCCCAAAGCATCTCTTCCATTTGGCCATCCTGAGTTATATTCTTTATGATAAACTGGTAAACCTAAGTCAAGTGTTTTCCTGAGTTCTGTGAGCCATTTAAGCAAAGTATGGAACCTAAGGAGGGGGGTCACAGAAACCCCTGATTTATAGGTGATTGGTCAGAAGTGTAGGTGGCAACCTGGAACTTGTGATTGGCATCTAAGTGGGGAGCAGTCTTGTGGCACTGATCCCATAACCTGTGGGGTCTGTGCTAACTCTGGTTGGCGTCAGAATGAAATTGGATTGTTGGACGCTCAGTTGGTATCTGAAATGTTGGAGAATTGGTTGGTATGAGGAAAAAATTCACACATTTGGTGTCAGGAGAATTGTGACTGACATCAATGCAAATATATATAAAAATGTGAATTTATATGAAGTAATTTTTAGCTGACCATAACATAATAGTTATATTCATTGCTGTGGTTTGACTGTGCCCACACTCACATCTCATCTTGAATGGTAATCCCCTTAATCCCCATGCGTCTAGGGACAGAGCTGTTGGGAGGTGCTTGGATCATGTGGGCGATTTCCCCCATGCTGTTCTCACGATAGTGAAAGAGTTCTCAGGAGATCTGATGGTTTAAGTAGGAGCTCTTCCTCCTTCACTCCTCACTCTTCTCTCTCCTGTCACCATGTGAAGAAGATCCTTGCTTCCCCTTCCGCCATGATTGTAAGTTTCCTGAGGCCTCCCAGTCATGTGGAACTGTGGGTCAGTTAAAACCTCTTTTATGTATAAATTACCCAGTCTTGGGTATTTCTTTATAGCAGTGTGAAAATGGACTAATACACCCACTGTTACGACCATGAAGGCTGAAACATGTCTTATTAGGGGTGGGTGAAACATGGAATTAAGTAACTGATTTAATGTTACCTAATTGTTCTATAAATTGATTTATCTTTCTATTAAAATTTAGAAAAAAAAACACAGCAGGAACAACAACAAAATCCTTCCTTATTAGTCACTTGCTGTACATTTTCACTGTCCTCACAGGTCCCCATCTCCTGTTGTGGAAAAAAACCAACCATGTCTCCTGACTGCTGTCTTCCCTTCCTTCCGATCATTGTATGATTGCTGGTTTTTCTTTCCTTAGTTCTTCATTTATGTTTCTCTTTCTTCAAAGTCCCCTGCAGAGTTGCCTTTAACATTTTATAATTTGTTTAATTTTTCTTTATTTGGCAGAGAAGAGCAAGTTAGTACCTTGTACCAAAACATCAACCTTGTGGAACCAAGATTAATTCAACCATATGAACATGTTATAAAGAACTTCATCCGTGAGATCAGACTTCAAAGCACAGAAATGGAAAATTTGGCCATTGCGGTGAAGAGGTATTGAAGTCCTTCCTTTATAAGTGGCCTGTGGGTGCTTTAACTTGCTCTCTGACCTGGGCGGCAAATGGACTGAAGTGCATTGTCACACTATGATATTGGTGGACTTACTGAGCTTCAGGAGTCTAGAGCTTTCAAAATTAAGCCAACACTGGAGAAGTAGGTCAGCTACCAATCAATCAGTAGGTCATCATGATCCTATTATATAAACTCTTCAGGATCAATGACTTGATACAGAACAATTAAGAGATGTATCTTACATCTTGCTGCTTAAAACACACAGGAGAAACTTTATCTAGAGAAGTAGGTGGAACACTATTTGAAGCCTGGCCTTGTTACCTACATGTATGAGACTTTGCGAGCAGGTTACTTAATCTCCCTGAGTTCAATTCCTGCATTTGTAAAATGAGGATGAATATCTTCACGTCCTCTGGGTGTTAAGACTTAGTGGATGATGTCATGGGTGAGCCCCTCACACTGCCCACCACATGGGTGCTCAACAGTACTGCTTTGGCTCTTGTCTACTCTCTAGCCCTCCTCACTTGGCCCTCCCCCTCTGAACTGAAAGCCAAAGAACTATTAAACTCTTACTCTAATACAGTTGATATAAGCCATAGCTAGCTTACATAGGATATCTGATTGGTGTTAACAGCTATATCATGCAAAAAAAGAATTTATATGTGTTGCAGTCCAAACATCAGCCTCTTTGCCCCCTGGAAAAACTGCATTCCTTTAGCATATATTGGGAAAAAGAGGGCATTGTGCTTGTCACAGTTCTGGTGTGTTGTGCCCCACAGGTGCTCCTTGCTGCCATGTGCTCCACCAGCAGCTCCCAAGATGCTGTGCACCCTGCTGGTTTCTGCCTGTAGCTTATAAACGCAGCCCTTTTAATAGGAGGCTGCCCTGTCTGCATAGGGGCGGGTGACTTGTCTTCAATTCTGCTGTCTCTTTATCCCTCCCATCCACATGATGCTGAAACTATCTAGCTGAACCTTCGGAGTAACTAAAGGACATTATAATGTAGGAAAGAAAATATTTTAAATTCTTGATACAAAATAGGACCTTTCTTATAGTCCTAGAATCAAACAAAAGTTAATCTATTCACAAGGGACTTTTTATGAACATTTTTAGTACCTGACTGACCGTTTTTCTCTCAAATTAGCCTTCTAGGGGCTTCCGGTAGGATAAAGCGTGGTCCTCAGAACTCCAAATTCTGTAGAGCATGCTGGAGTGTGGATCAGAGTCCCAGAGTTGGCCTCTTTTGACATGTGACAGGCAGACACACACATTGATTCTTCAGAGCACCCAATAAGTATTAAAACAGACAAACCCACAGGTATACACATAGGTACACATATACAGACCCACACAAAGGTATGTGAGTACACACACATACACATGCCCCCATCTGAATATAATACCATGTACACCTATGAGGGAAAAAACCAGACTGGCGTGCTTGATGTTCTCATTACCAGCTAGGCTGCTTTTTCACGGTGGAGTGAGTACATCACATTAATTAGAGCTGTATTGGTTTCCCCATCCACTCCCTTCTGTGCTGCCGGGGCCATCCAGAGCCAGGCTCTATGCAGAGCCTAAGTCTCCTAAAGGCTCCTTTCTTAGCTATCAAAGACATCAGGAAGTATTTAAATGGCTACTTGTAAACCATTCCTTACATTCTTAACCATCCATCCTCCCCTCTATTTTGGATTGGGGGAGGGTTTTGGCCATTTTGCTCTGCGCTGCACCCGAAGAATGGGTTCCCAGTGTCCTGGTGGGAGCCCTGGACTAAGGTCACAGTGGGCAGACATTTCACTGGAAATTAGAAATTGCTGAGGCAAGCACTCTGTCATTATGCATCACCCTGATTTGCAAAAGAAGAAAAACGTTGCTCAGAAGTGAAAAGGGCAGAGAGAGTCCATTACGGAGCAGTCCCAGATGTGTGGGATGGGATAGCTAGAAGAAGTAGGTGGGAAATGATCATAGCAAAGGGAGAAAGGATATGTGCCTTAGCCATTTACAGTCCCAGAGTTGACCAAAAAAACCACCAGGCATTGCTATGGAGATACATAATTTCTGGACTTCAAATAGCAGGTATTTATAAGCAGAAATGAACTGATTTCCCAAGTTTGGTTAACATAACTTTAGACAGGCTATAAGCTGAGGAAAAAGTAAATAGAAACAGAAAATAATAATGTTACTGAAAACTTTACTTTGGGGTCTTTTTCCTCCCATAATATTTCCTTGGAGTTTTATGTGGAAGTTGAACCAATGCATGAATAAATTGTGTTGTGAGGGAGTAAATAAGTCAAAAGCAGGTAAGTTGGTATAGCAGAGACCCATCAAACTAGAAGACAAAAATCTTCTATTTAAGCCCTATCATTTATTAATAGCATGTCATTTGTCCAAATGAATCACCTCTAAAGCTCATGGTTTAGATGCAGATCAATGTGCTTTGCCTCCATAAAGATGTGATTTATAATCGCACTCGTAACAGAAACAAAATTTTTCTAAAAGGTAACCTTATATACATTCTAGAACTTTAGGGGACAAATAAGAAATAATGATTGAGATCGTTTTTTCCCTTCTCACTTTAACATATAACATTGTGAGTTTTTTATAGTGAAATTTCAAAATTATATCTAACCATCACTTTGCCACGGAGTTCTTTTTTTAATCCAGGATTGTAACTCAGTCATGACAGGAAAAAAAAAAAAAAAAAGATTCAGAATTTATTGAGAGCCTCCCAGCACTTTTGATATCTTTATTCTTTGCCACAATCTAGTTTAATATCATTTTATCCAATGTATTCATTTATTTGATATAGTCAGGTACCACATCACGATGTTTTGATCACATAAATGACAGTGGTCCCATAAGAATATAATCCTACATTTTTACTGTATCTATTCTGTGTTTAGGTACACAAATACTGGCCATTGTGTTCCAGTTACTTGCAGTATTCAGTACAGTCCCATGCTGTTCAGGTTTGCAGCCTAGGAGCAATATGCTATACCGTATAGCCTAGGTGTGAAGTAGGCTGTACCAGCTAGGTTGGTGTGAATACTCTATGATGCTTGCACAATGACAAAAATCTCCAAAAGACACATTTCTCAGAATGTAAGCTAGTTGTTAAGGAATGCATGACCGTATCTAGTTTTAAAATGATTTTACACCAAAATGGTCAAATTGCCAATCTCATTTTGTTATGTAGATGGAATGGGGAATATCATTTTGAATAGTGTGTTTCTCTTCATCTGTAATATATAGGGCTTCACATAGATAAGTCTGAAGTTTCTCTTCATGTTTCAAGTTCAAGAGTGTAATGAAAAGGTGTGCATCCTTTTGAATTTCAGAGCCCAGGACAAGGCAGCTATGCAGCTGAGTGAGTTGGAAGAGGAAATGGATCAGAGGATTCAGGCTGCAGAACATAAGACACGGAAAGACGTGAGTTTCTGGGTTGGCCATTCATTCAGCAGATCTTTATGAGGTGCTTTCTGTGGAGAGGGCCTAGACACTCTTCTGGGTATCATGCATGGGTACAGCAAGTCCAGCTTCCCGCAGATCCTCCCAGCAAAGGAATTTTTACTGGTGGTGTTTTTTGGGGATGGGGTAAGAAGAAATAGAAATAATAATCAAATAAAAAAGTAAAGCAAGTAAGTTCAGATAGTGACAAGTATGATAAAGAAATAACATGTGCGATAGTGACTGGAAGAGGAGGCGGCTTAGGTTGGGGGTTAGAGGCCTCTTTGAAGGGGTAACATCAGAGACAAAGCCTTGGGAGAAGGCAGAGGCAGCCTTCATAGAGAAGGTGACTTGACTTTCCATACCTGTGTCACTGCCCACACCCGCTGCCCACTTTAAATCTAGATTAGAGTGAAATTAAAATTCTGTCTTCAAACTTTGGTGTTTTATAATGGAATACAGCCATCACTTGGTACCCGAAGAGATTAGTTCCAGGACTCCCCCGCAACCCTGCATACCAAAATCTGCATGCTCAAGTTTTTTACAAATAATGTATATTTACTTACAACCTACGCATATCTTCCAGTATATTTTAAATCATCTCTGGATTACTTATAATACCTAGTATTTAACACAATGTAAATGCTTTGTAAAGAGCTGTTATACCGTATTTTTATCTGCATCACTTTTACTGCTTAAAATATTTTCAATCTTTAGTGGTTGAATTTGCAGATGCAGAACCCGTGAATATGAAGGGCTGACTGTATGCCTTTATTCAGCATTATGGGAGCCATTTAAAGTCGAAAGTGATATGTTACCTTCAGTGATTTCCATTGAAGAAAGAATTTTTTTCTTATATTTTTGGGTGATTAATGTTTATTGAAAACAGAAAATAGACAATGCTAGGTTAAAAATGTCACTTTTATTTATTCATTCACCCTGTTAACACTGAATGGCAGCAAAATAATGTGCAAGTGGCCTGAACGTTGGCATCTGGGAGACCTCAGTTTGCATCCTGGCCCTGATTGTATCCAGGTGACATTGGGAAAATAACCCAACCTCTGAGCCTTTGTTATTCCATCTCTAAAATGGGATAATGCAACCTACCTGCCTTCACAGGAGTTAAACATGATGATCTATATGAAGTGCCCGCCACAGTACCTGCAATGTGGTGGCTGCACCCTGGTTGTTACTGTCCTGCTCTTTCCTGTGGCTCTGTGTATTCTTGATTCCTTTTAGATTCTTCACCTTAAATGGCTTTACTGCATATGTGCCCTGGGGTGTCTTTGTCTCCTTATACAAAGTTTAGTAAGAAGCTGGACATCATATTCAACCAGATAAATGGTTCAAGATTCATGGTCCAGCTTCAGAGCAATGGATCACCCCTTCTGCTAGCACTTTCCTTTTGGTAAAAAGGAAAGAGTAAAATTATTTTTCTACCTTTTTTCTCTCTCCATCTGCTGTGTTTAATCTGTGCACTCATTCATTCATCAAACACATATCAAGCACATGTGTTATTCTGTCGTCATATCTTACTGCTTCTTCTAGATAAATGCCTCCCAAATTTGTTGCTGGTAATGAGGATATTACCATGGCCCCCACCTTTTAGAACTTCATGTTTTGTTAATTACAACATCTTTAGTTTCCTTGGCTTCAGTCCGGAGGTGGCAAACCCATGCATCTGTGGCATCATTTCTCTATTCCACAGCAATGACACATGTGGCCTGTAAGTCACCATATACACGTGGTCTCCACACCTCAGCACGCCAGTCCAGGACCTCACTGCCAGCTGAGCAGCTTTGGCACTGTGAGGAAACTTGTTTGCCTGTCCATGCCAGTGTCCACCTCACACCTTTCTAAAGATAGCTTCTCCGGAATAACGTGCCCAGGCCAGTCTAAGAGTTTCCCTCATTTCCTTCCATTCCACACGGCTCCCCTCAGCTCTCCAGGGTTCTTCACCCCCAGCTCTGGCCCAGTGGCCTTGCTGTGCCTGACTCTGCTTTGTCTCCAGCTGTTTTCTTTGCCTTGATGATTATCTCCTCAATCCTTTCCTCCTTCCCAAATTCTGCAAAGCTCAGAGGAACCCTCACTTTCTTCTTGATACCCTCCCCTGCTCCTCTAGCCGCATTCACCTTTTCCTGACCTGGACTCCTATGGCATATATAGCATATATTGCCTTGCTTCAGTTTTTTTTTTTTTTTTAACTGTAACAGCTTTATGAAGGTATAATTGGCATGCAACAAACTGCATATGAAGTATAGTATATGTGAAGTTTGGACATATGTACGCACCGTGAAACCATTCCCACAGGCAAGATCGTAGGCATAGCTATCCACCCTAGAAGTTTCTTCATGCCCCTTGAAGGCATAACAAGCCTTTCTTCCTCCTTTCTTTGCCCCTTTTTGCCAGATAATCATTGTTCTATTTTCTGTCACTGTAGATTAGTTTGAAGTTTTCAGAACTGTATAGAAATGGAATCATGCAGTATATACTATTTCTTGTCTGGCTTCTTCCACTCAACATAATTATTTTGAGACGTATCCATGTAATCAATAGTTTGTTCTTTTTCATTGCCGAGTAGTATTCCATCATGTAGGGGTACCACAGTGTTTAGCCATTCATCTGTTGAAGGACCTTTGAGTTATTTCCAGGTTTTGGCTATTGCAAATTAAGCTGCTATGCATATACATGTGCAAGTCTTTATAGAGGTATATACTTTTATTCCTCTTGAGTAAATTCCTGGAGTGGAATGGGTTGATCATCTATGTAGATGACTGTGTATTTTTGTAAGACACTGCCAACCTGATTTCCAGAGTGGTTGTACAGTTGTGTTTCAATCAGCAGTGTATAAGAGTCCCATTCTTTCAGCATTCTAATTGGTGTGTAGAGGAATCTAATTGTGGTTTTAACTTGCATCTCTCTAATGACTAGTTGTGTGGAGAATCTTTTCTTGGGTTCATTTGCCATGTGTATAATTTTTTTTTTTTTTTTTTGCTGAAGTGTCTTGTTAAAAATCTTTGGCTCATTAAAAATATAGTTTTTTTAAAAAAAAAAATACTATGTTTTGAGAGTTATTTTATATTCTGAATGCAAGTCTTTTATCAGATACCTGATCTATAAATATTTTCACCCACACTGTGACCTGTCTTTTCATTCTCCTAACAGTATCTTTTAAAGAGTATAAAGTTTTAATTTTGATTAATTGTAATTTACCAGTTTTTTTCATGGATCATACTTTTCTTGTGGTCTTTAAAAATCTTTAACCCAAGTTCACAAAGATTTTCCCCTATGTTTTGTTCTATAAGCTTTATTGTTTTAGGTTACATTTAGGATCTATTTTGTATTTGGTGTCAAGATATGGATCAATGTTCATACTTGTTTTTTGCATGTAGATATCCAATTGTTCCCACACCTTTATTAAACAAGAGTAACCATTTTCCACTGAATTGCTTCTGCACTTTATCCAAAATAGTTTATTCTATGTGTGTAGGTTTATTTCTGGGTTCGGTGTTCTGTTCCATTGATTACTTTGTCTATTGTTATGCTAATATTACATTGTCTTGATACCTATTGGTTTATAGTATGTCTTGATACCAATTGGTTTATAATAAGTCTTGGAATCAACTAGTATTAGTTCTTCAACTTTGTGCTTTTTTTGAAAAGTTGTTTTGGCTATTTTAATTGCTTTAATTTCCATAGAATCAGCCTTTCAATTTCTTTTTTTAAAAAAAAGCAAACAAAAACTCAAAGTCTGCAGGGAGTTTGACTGAACTTCATTGTATCTATAGATCAATTTGGGTAGAATTGACATCTTAACAATATTGAAAATATGATTTATCTATGTCTTCTTTTAGCAATGTTTTGTGTTATTCACTGTACAGATCTTGTACATCTTAGATTTACTCAGCATGTCATATTTTGATGATCCTGTAAATAGTATTTTTAAAATTTCAATTTCCGATTGTTCATTGTGAATGTATAGAAATACATTTGAGTTTTGAGTATTTGTCTTGTATTCTGTAGCATTGCTTACATTGTTTGTACACAGTGCCTTTTTGTTGGTAGATTTTGTCAGATTTTCTAGGATTATGATTATGAAATACATTAATAATAAGTTTTATTTGTCTTTCGAATTTAGATGAAGCTCTTTATTTTTCTTGCCTTATTGCACTGGTTAGAAGAATAAAGGAGATGAGAACATTGAATGTGATGTTAGTGGTGTAGTATTCATAGATGCCTTTATAAGTGGGGTAGAATCCCTTCTGTTCCTAGTTTGCTGAGTATTATTGTTGCTGTTGTTTTAATCAGGAATGGGTGTTGAATTTTCTCAAATACTTTTTCTGTCTTATGATCATGTTTTTTCTTTTTTAGAATGTTAATGTGGCGAATTACATTGATTGATTTTTGAATATTAAAACAAACTTGCACTTGAGATAGACCATAATTAGTGATGATGTACTATCCTTTCTATAGATTGTTGAATTCAGTTTGCTAAATTTTACTTAATATTTTTGCATTCATATGCAGAAGAGATATTGGTTTGTATTTTTAATGCCTTTGTCTGATTTTGGCATCAGGCAAATTCTGGTCTCATAGAATGAGTTGGGACGTGTTCCCTCCATTCCAGTTTACTGGAAGTTTGTCAAGAGTTGACCTGAACCACTACCATGCCTCACCTGCATTACTGTAACAATCCCTTATCTGATTTCTCAGCATCTACCTGTTGCAGGTTTGGAATGAAATAGGCTAGTGATCATTTCCTTTATTGAGCTCTTGATAAAATATTTCTTTTTGTTTTGTTTGTTTGTTTGTTTGTTTTTTGAGATGGAGTCTCGCTCTGTCGCCCAGGCTGGAGTGCAGTGGTGTGATCTCGGCTCACTGCACGCTCCGCCTCCTGGGTTCACGCCTTTCTCTTGCCTCAGCCTCTCCAGTAGCTGGGACTACAAGCACCCGCCACCACGCCCGGCTAATTTTTGTGTATTTTTTTTAGTAGAGACGGGGTTTCACCATGTAAGCCAGGATGATCTAGATCTTCTGACCTCATGATCTGCCCGCCTCAGCCTCCCAAAATGCTGGGATTGCAGGTGTGAGTCACCACGCCCAGCCTAGATAAAGTATTTCTAAACCCTAAAATGTTTATGTTTGGGTTTGTGGCTGTGGATCTAATGAAGAGACTTGCAGTCAAGTCCATTTTGGTGCCAGGAAGGCTGCCTCGTTAGTACCTCATTGTGAGACCTCTGTGTCTTCATCCACATGTGAGGCAGGCAATACTTGTTGCCTCACCTGTAAAGCTGGATGAAGTCAGCTTTTAAAAAAAGTTACCTTAAGAGAAGATATTGCTCTTCTGCTAAGCATTTCACATGGATTATTTAATTTACATGGATTATTTAATTTATATAGATTATTTAACTTGGATTATTTAATTTAATCCTTACAATAGTTAAAAAGAAAATGGAGGCATGGATAAGTTTAGCAACTTGCCCAGGCTTCACAGCCAATGAGTGGGCAGTGAGACACACTGCCTCTGGCAGGTATTCAGATGTGGGAGCCTTCGTCAGAGAGGCCCTACCTTACCCTCTAGCAGACTGACTTCCTGCCACATCTCCCTGTTTTTTCTTTCTTTTTTTTTTTGTATCATTTCCTGAAATTGTCTTTTTCTGTCTCCTCCACTAGAATGCATGAGAACATCAGTTTTATTGTCCCCCTCTCTGTCCCCATGTCCCCAGTCCCTTAGAACCATTGGTAGGTGATCAGTGAATATTTGTACACTGAATTTTACTGGCTATCAACATAAAACTATTAGAATACTGAATGTAAGATATAAAATTATATAATTTATTAAGAGAAAAGGAAATTTAGAGATGTTTCAGCCCATGGGAACTTCTGAATGGCAATCCCCTGACCTCCTGGGGTGCCTTATTGCCATTCTCTGCTCCAGAAGAACTTGAAGGGACACCCCTGAAAAGTACCAGCCCACGGGGAAGCACTTTGCATAGCAATTTGCAGTGATGTGATTGGGATTTAGATAAGGCATCATCTCTAGGGAAAAGGATGCACCCAGGATGCCTTCTTGAGTCCTGATGACATGATAGGATTCCAGTAAGCACAGCAGCCCTTCACTGTGCCATGTCTTTTAACTAATTATAGCAATAATTAATTAATTGGTGTGTTACGGCCTCTATCACAATGTGAGTAATAGTCTTAGAGGTGTCACTCCTGGGTGAGGTGTGTATGTAGGTTGTGGGATTTTGCTCTTCTGTCAGTTTTGTAGGTTTCCATTCCAAAATTGCGGTACTTCTGAAGTCAGTTGATTTCCTTCTGATATCCCTTCTCATCCTCCCTGTGTAGGAAAACTGAAGTCAGCCTTAATTTGACACAAAATGTTTCTCACCTGTGGGGTTTTGAAGGTTGTTTAAGAGGGTGAACCTATTTAAATGAACACAATATATATTTTTTTCCTTTAGGAAAAGCGCAAAGCTGAGGAAGCCCTCAGTGACCTCAGACGTCAGTATGAAACTGAAGTAGGAGATCTGCAGGTGACCATTAAAAAGCTAAGAAAGGTAGGCATGTGGCAGCTGGACTTTTAGGAACAGCCTCAGCATCTCAGTGTATCTAAGTCATTAACAACCAAAAACATTTGGAATCCTATTGAAGTGGCACATAGATCAGATTTCAGAATCAAGGAATTCCTTGGAAAGACCTTTTCTTTTCTTTTTTTTTCCTTTTTCTTTTTTTTTTGAGACTGAGTCTTGCTCTGTCAACCAGGCTGGAGTGCAGTGGCAAGATCTTGGCTCACTGTAACCTCTGCCTCCTGGGTTCAAACAATTTTCCTGTCTCAGCCTCCTGAGTATCTGGGATTACAGGCACATGCCACCATGCCTGGCTAATTTTTGTATTTTTAGTAGAGGCAGGGTTTCACCATGTTGGCCAGGCTGGTCTCGAACTCCTGACCTCAGGTGATGCGACTACCTTGGCCTCCCAAAGTGCTGGGATTACTGCGCCCAGCCTGAAAGACCTTCTTTTAAGAGCCCCTTGAGTTCCTCTTTATTTTCCAGGGGCCACATGTCTTTTTCATAGATCTGATCAATATTTTCTGATCCCTTCAACCGTTGTCCATAAAACTTCAGTTTGCTTTCCTTGGTCTTCACCAGCTTAGTACTCAAGTCCTTCGTGTCTAGTGGACGGCATGCCTCATCACTGTTTTTCTTGGTCATGTCAAATATCCATGTGTCCCTATCCCTAGCTTATTGCAAAGTGCATGGTAAGTATTCAGGGAATATTTATTAAATGAAATGAATATTGCTCTTCTAAGTAGAAAATTTCAGATTGAGGGTACCCTGATCACCAAGAGTCACCTGTTTTTGAAGAAGAGCAGAACTTGTTGAAGTGTGAGCAAAGATGTGATTACGTTTTTTTTTTTTTTTTTAAATGTAGTTGGTTTTTGGCTTTTCCTCTATTTGGTTTCTAATGAGCAGGTTCTGTTTGGCTCAGTCATATCTGTCCGTTGTTTACCAGGTGGCTCTGTAGGGGGTGGAGGGGAGGGGAGGGATGCGTATCATTTGTCGATTTCCATGGTATAACTACTCCTGTCACTACTGATTTCATGCTACCAAGTTGATACCACTGGATTTAAGTTTGAGAAGAGATGCTTAAAGCAGACTCTCACCTGCCGGTACAGGCTGGCGCCAGCACTGTACTAGACACACTTCTTGGATCTGTTTTTCGTTTTTCCCATAACTAATGGGAATGTGTTAGCTAAAATGAAAATGGATAATTAAAAAAGGATCATCCTTGCTGGGCATGGTGGCTCATGTCTGTAATCCTAACACTTTGGAAGGCTGAGGCAGGAGGATTGCTTGTGCTCAGGAGGTCAAGACCAGCCTAGGTGACATAGTTGAGATCCCACCACTATAAAAATAAATAAACTAATTCATTAAAAAAATTAACTGCATGTGGTAGCACATGCCTGTAGTCCCAGTGAGTCAGCAGGCTGAGGTGGGAGGATCACTCGAAGCTGGGAGAGCAAGGCTGCAGTGTGAGCCATGATTATGTCACTGCCTTAAAAAAAATCAAAAATCATTTCTGAAAATGGTGATGAGATTAAGTGACAATTAGCTATACTTTGTATTTTATACACTATTGCAATGTAAACCTCTGGGATGATTAAGAATTCTCCCCAGTAGCCTCCTTAGAAAATTAACATCAATTTGAACCTGATATCTAATTTTCAAAAGTTATTAGGCCATGCATACTATGCTTGTATTACAGAATTGAATAGACCAGTCTTCTGTTTATGCTAGAGCCACAAATTCACCGAGTCAGTGCCCTGACTTATGTCTGTGGCTTCCCCAATCTTTAGACTAAGGAAACGTCTACAAGAAGAGATGCTGCAAATGATGAGGGCCAAGTGGTCTGAACAGTAAGAAAGGCCATATGTCGGGAGACCTGAATCCTTGTCAAAACTGTACCCATTTTTTCCCTGAAGCACCTGGGACAGTTTATGATTTTTAGTTTCTGATCTGTAAAATGCAGTTAATAATAAACTGTCCTTCCTATCCATAATGACTGATATTTTATTGACTGTGCAGTTCACTAAGCCCTTTTTCATGATTTAAAAAATCAAATTCTCAAACTTTCTCTGAGGAGGCTATAAATAACCTGCTTTTAGAGATGAGGACTGAGTTCCAGAGAGGTTAAATAACTTGTTCAGAGTCACACAGCTAATAACTGATGGAGCCATGTTACTACACAGTTTGTGCTTTCTCACTTATACCAGACTTCCTGCATGCCTGATGTGGTTGTTATGCAAAACAGCAAGGTGTTTATTTGAGAGTACGTTAAGGGCTATAGTTTCCTAATTTGTTACAATAGCCACTAACTGTGTCCTTGATTCTGAGAAACTCATTTTTTCCAGATGGTTTTTCTTCTCTGAAGTCAAAATGCGTGTTTAAATCAATGGCTCTTCTCAGTCATAGTCAGCCTTGTGGCAGTCATGATGTTTTTATATAAACACTATCCCTTTATAGCATCTGGCAAGGTGAAGAAAGTCCAGAGTCAAAGCACTTAGACTTGGTGAAATGTGGGATCCATTTTGATCAGTGCATAAACATTCCATAAATGAATCCCAGCAGATCCCCACCATTCCCAGAGGATGTAAGCTGTTTGTAGGAAAGGCATTTTGTTGTTGTTGTTGTTCTCCAGGTTATAAATGCTGTGGAACCAGTTTAGTCTGGTAATCATAACGAGTATGTAATTGTAATAGAAATGAGTCAACCAGCAAGCAAAGCTCATGCAGAAATGAGTTAATCCTCAAGCAAAGCTTAAATGTAGGTATTTATATAATCAAGTGTGTTTGTGTCTCTTGCTTCATGTTATACTCAGATTTTATTGATTTTAGTTATTTAATAAGCATTTCTTGAACTCACCATGAAGAGAACATATAGGTGAATCGGACGCTAATTCTGCTCTTAAAAAATCTTGCTCTCTAGGAGGGAAGGTAAGACATTTCTAAATAATTGTAATACAGAATGGAAAGTGTTAAATGCAGATAATACAAAGGAGAATAGAAAGATCAAGATTCCAATATAGCATAACCGAGTTAAAGCAAGAATTGGATTGCTTAATAGTTGAATGATTTCCAAAAAGGGCTTTTCAGCTGTTTCCAGAAAAGTTCATTTCACAACCAAACCCCCTTTTTCAAATGTTTAAATTATTTAGAACAAAATTTCAAATCCTTATGGATTTTATGTAGTTTAATGATTTATAAAGTCGCATAATGTTGAAAATTGGTGACTTCTAGAATTCTCATATGTATATTCAAGGATAGTCCTAAACTTAAAGCAATTCAAAGTGAGTTTGTAAGCACACAACTTTTATTTGGTCTTTCAGCTCGAAGAACAATCAAAACACATAAGTCAAAAGGAAGATGTGGCTGCACTGAAAAAACAAATTTATGATTTATCAATGGTAAGAATTACCTTTTCACTTACAGAAATGCACTTCCTGTTAGACCACATCATCATGCTCTTATTTCAGTGTTCCAGGAAGACCAGCTTAAAGAGAAATTAATACTATGGTTAGAAAAAATCCTTAAAATACGTTTGATCAAAGATATTATTTATGCAGGCTTTTCCCTCAATAATATCCCACTTATTGTGAAAGCTTTAACTTATTTTTCTTACAAAGTAGTAAAGACATAGTGTTTAAGTTTTGTAAAACATGGTAAACCCTGTATTCTTCCAACATCAGCTCTGGTCTGTACAACGTGATGCTTTGTGATGAGGATATTAGTGCCTTGCCCCTTCCTCCAAGTTTTTTTTTTTTTTCTTTTCTGTCGCTTTTCTGTCTTACGCCAGCCACATCTTTACTTTTAGTACTAACAAAATTGATAACATTTACATCTCTTCTGTTATCTTTACTAAGTTTTATTTATTTTGGTTCTAGATTAACTCCCAAATTTGAAAGCAAATAAAGAGTGTTTTCTTTATTATGATTCTAAATATTTTCACTGCAGAGCTAAGAAATGAATGAGGCTTGCATTTCTTTCTCTCCATTCATTATCTCTGTTCCACTTAGAAGGCTCCCAGCCTCGTGGTCAATTGAATTCCTAGTTCCAGATTTTTCCACATCTTAGTTGGCTTTGTATTTGGATAATGACATTCTTGTAGAGCTTTTTGTTTTTCTTGAGTTTCTTGTTGCAAAAAGAAGCTCTACTATTTTCATGATATCACTGATACCTTAATACTTATTTATTCTTTCCAATGCATGAAATTTGTTTAGTTTTTCTCCTTGAAAATATTAATTTTGGAGTCTATAAAATTTCAGTTCTTTTTTTTTTTTTGAGGTGGAGTCTCACTCTGTTGCCAGGCTGGACTGCAGTGGCATGATCTCAGCTCACTGCAACCTCTATCACCCGTGTTCAAGTGATTCTCCTGCCTGAGCCTCCCAAGTAGCTGGAACTACAGATGCGCGCCACCACTCCCAGCTACTTTTTGTATTTTTAATAGAGACAGGGTTTCACCATGTTGGTCAGAATTGTCTCATTCTCTTGACCTTGTGATCACCCACCTTGGCCTCCCAAAGTGCTGGGATTATAGGCGTGAGCCACCGCACCTGGCACAATTTCAATTCTTATTGGACTGGTTTTTAAACTTGCTACCCATACATTCTGCAATTTCTTTTCACTGGGCTTTTCACTGAATTGCAGCATTTTGCATATTGCAATTTTTTGGGAGGAGAGGGTTATCCTCATTTCACCATAGCACATCCTCAAGAAACTTCTTCAGAAAGAACATGTGAGAGAGAAATTTTCTCTGTTTTTGAATATTTGAGAATGTCTGCATTCCCCCTCACAATTTATTAAGTTTGTCTAGATAAATTAGGCTTTTCTGGGACTCCTCTAGGATTTATTAATTTAATTCTTTCTCGGTACCATTTTTTTTTTCAAATACCTGGCAATGGTTGGTGATCTGTTCATATTTTAAAATGAAGGACTAGCTTGGTTACTTGAGGTAGCTCGTGTAGGATCCTGTGGGGTGTGAACAGATCGACTCACCTGAAGGCCTCTCTTCCGAAAGAGTGTCTTCCTAGGAGCTCTGTGTGTGAAGCTGGCAAGGGACCCCAGGTACCAGCGTGAGTGGGGCAGGGATATTCAGAGAGAAGCCTTAGCTTTTTTTACAGGAGCCACTCAATTTTAAAAAAGATAATCTCTGTCTTGTCTTTAGAATCCACTCTGGCTCTCTACTGTTACTTGCTAGGGTAAGACAGGGGATGGGCTTGGTGGGAAGGGTGCCTTACTATACAGTTTTAATCTCTCTTTCCAACCCCATATCTGGTTCTATCTTTCTGGGGTTCGGCCTGGTCACTTGTCTCCTCCTGGGTTCTGTGTCAAAACCTTGAACACACTTCCTCTAGATTTCCATTTCTCCAGTCTTTTCCCTTTGGCAACACATTTCCATCAGTTTCCATTTTCTAGAAGTGCGTTTAAGTCACTTGAATGCTCTGGCCCCCTCTTCCATTCTTTTAGCTGTTATTGGTTCATTTCCTTTGGCATTTCATTTTACTGAGGTTTTGGTAGGGGAAAAAGACAAATTCATGTGCTCCGTCCACCATCTTGAACGGACGTCTCCAATATTATTTTAAGAAAACACAGAAATGTTCGGATCACACTGGTTTATTTTTAAGTGCAAAACTTAAAATATTAAGTGATAGAATTTATTTGTAAAAAGTAGCCAGTGTACCTACCAGGTACTATAGGTACTATTGATTCCACAAAATGTTTATCAATAATTTTATAGCTCTCATGAAATAAAGCAGGTGTTCGAATGGTTGGTGTCAGTTAATTTGCCAGTAACGTGTTGAAATACATCATGGTAAACCCTTGACTGTTGTAGTTTGGTATCAAATATCAAGCATAGAAAAATGAAGAATAACTTTGAGAATTTAGATTTTTGACACTTTACGAATTTATAATGATTTCAAACTACCTTGAATTGACAAATAGTTCTTTGAACACCGAGATTTGAAGAGTTGTGGAAGGGTGAGAGTGGTGTGGGAGGGTGACACGACACTACTTCATTTCTCCCAGCCAGAGGAAAATATGAATCTAATGACCTCCACTTTTCCTTTTATCCAGGAAAATCAGAAAGTTAAGAAAGAGCTTTTAGAAGCACAGACAAACATAGCCTTCCTTCAGAGTGAATTAGATGCTTTGAAAAGTGATTATGCTGATCAGAGTCTGAATACTGAAAGGTATGAACTTTGCATTTTATTTGTTAGTTTGAGTAGAATATTGAGATGATCATCTGAGCAAAAGAAGAAGCTCAGTTATGGAATAATGAAGAGTTAGTAACTTTGCTAATATCGTCTTTATTTTCTAAGGATTTTATTTTCAGTATCAGATTTCCCAGTGTTTTTTGTGTTTTTAATTTTTTAAAGCAAATAGAATAATTATTGTCTGCGTAGGCTGGCGTAGGGCTTAATAAATGTTTGAATTAGCTGGGACCTTAAAGAATATACCTACAGTGTCAAGGGTTAGTGCTTATTAAAGTGCTTTGAAGTCAGGAATCCTGGCCATAAAACATAAGAAAGGGAGAAGTAGGCAAGTCTATTTTTGTGTGTGTTAGTTTTGCAGTATGGTGTTAATACAATAAATCCTAATACACATACATACACTCACAGACATGTATTTATATATAAGGAACATAGACATGTATATTTTTATATGGATGGTAAATATAAAATGCATAGATAGGTGTATATGTGTGTATCCCCTAGGACATGTACGCTTGGGAAAAATACCTTTTTTTGGGTTTGTTTGCAAACTTTACTCGGAATTAAGGTCTGATAAGATCTTAGAAAACAGTGAAATATTATTATTTACTACATACAAGTCTCTGAACTAGATAAGGAGTTATGAGAATATATATATATATATCATATATCATATATATATGATGTGGGCTCTGTGTTTTGAGAATTTCAAATTTAGTTGGGGAAAAAAAAGCAAAAAGATTATAGGGTTTAACAACAGAAGAGCTAAAAAATATCAGAAGCAGTGCCACTAACGTAGTCATGGTTTGGGTTAATTGCTGTGTGATCACAGAAAAGATTTTGTTTTAGTTCAGAAGAGATGAAGAACTGCATTAAAGAGGTGATGCTGGAGGTGAGCCTAGGTAGACAGATAGCTCTGTGCTGGGAAAGGGGGAAGAGGCAGCCAGGATGGCACCATCAGCAACTCAGAGCTGGTGGCACTGCCGCCTGCCAGGCACTGTCCTGGTCCTTCACAGGCATTAACTGATCCAGTGCACACAACATCCGATGAGACAGAGACCTTCATTATGTCCATTTTACAGATGGGAAAAGAGAGTCTCAGAGATGTTCCAGGTAAGGCAGTAACCAAAGCAGGGGCCAGAACATAGGGAAGGATACGGCTTGGGGAAAGGTGATCAGACCACAGGGCAGAAAGAGACATTTTGAATAGAAAAGCAAAAGTTTAAAAAAAATTAAGAAGTTTAAAAGCTAGTTTAAGGTTATAATAGAAGGCCCCCGAACTTTGGGTTAAGGAACTTAAATTCCTAGAGACAATTAGGAAATGTGTACTTTTATCATCCAGGGAGCAGATGGACAGGTTATTGTGAACCAAAGATAGGCTGGGCGTTTTGGGAAGCTAGTGATGAGGTTTGTGTGCTCAGCGGGATAGGGGCTGGAGGAGAGGCCGGTGTTCTGAGCGCAGTTTGGGGAAGAAGCCAGAGCTTCCATCATAAAGCAACAGAGGGATTGCCACAGGGTGAGTGTCTCATGAACTTAGCAAGCCTGGTTCTTTGGGGGTCTCTGTGGTTTAGGTAAGGAGAAGAGGGAGGGCAGGAGTAGGGTGAGACAGGGAAAGAGGAAGGAATCACAGGAAAGGAGAAAATAGATGGAGTTGGGATTATATAAGGATGAGCAGGGAAGGTTCAGAGGATTGAAGGCACAGTTTCTGAGACGCCCTGAGGAGAAGGGACCCAAGAGGTTCAGCCCTCATGGAGAACAGAGCTGGGTCAGCGAGGGTGGGGATGGAGGAGCTGGTGGGTGCTGAGATGGGCTGAGGAGGAGAATCTCTAGGCTTGTGATGTCAGAGGTGGGGCGGAGCCTCACAGGAGAAAGCACAGGATGTGAGTGTGTTTGTGGAGTCGCAGAAGGAGGGGAGGCCGCTGAGGCTACAGAGGCCCAGAGCAGGAGCACGGGAAAGGTAGAAAACTGTGGCCAAGGACACTCGTCTTTGAAAAAGGTGGAAAAGGGTCTGGGAGGGTAGGTATAGATGAGGCAGGGCTTGACACCTAATTCTCACTCAAACATAAAATATAATTTTACAGGGATCTGGAAATAATCCGAGGATACACAGAAGATCGAAATAGTCTTGAGAGGCAAATTGAAATACTCCAGTAAGTTATCAGATCAAATGCTCATTACATTTATATTTCACTTATTTTTTTGTTGATAAAAGACATAACACGTAGAATGTGAGTTTGCCATGCTCTGAGGACTGCATTTGTGGCTCAGTGTGTGTTTCTTCTGAGGGTGTGTACTTGGCATCTCCTTTTAGCTTTCTGATGCTTATAATCCTAAATATATTATCCAGATGTGGGGAATAGAGTATAAATCTCTAAACATCTTGGGAAGTCAGGGGATATGTCCAGTGTGTATTATGCCTCTATAAAGAAGAACAGCCCTGAGCACTCAGCTTTCTCTGAGTTCTGTACCGCGAGTTTTTCAGGCTTCTCCTATTAGTGGGGTCACAGGGCTCTGCCTCCACAATTCTTTCTCAGTTTGTTGTGTTTACTTAGAAGTATGTTTTTCTTAGTTTTTTTTCCTCTCCCCAAGTAGAGATATACCCACTCTGTCAGCTTTATGACTAGTTACAGTAGTTCCATTCTCTGAGAGTCTTCCCCACAAAACCTAGCTCTCTCCCTCCCCTTTCCTTCTTTTCCACCCATGCCGCATTGTCTTCTGGTTTCAGTTCCCGCCAATGAAGTCAGGTCAGGTTTGACCTTTTTTCTTTCCCACCATTTTTGAATGCTTATTAAGTCTCACCTGTGGCAGTTGTAGAGTTCATGTATTTCAGTAATCCTTTGAGTTATTTTATTCATTCATTCGGTCAACAGATTTGTCAGTACTTCTTACAGGCCAGGTATGCCAGAAGTAAAGGATAGAGTGGGAAGTGGGTGAAAAATCTCTTTCTCCTTGTGGGGCTAGTCTAGGAGAAGAAGAGAGAAATGGATCAATAATTATAGAAATAAATGTAAAAGGCCAAACGAGAGAGATGCAGCAAAAGAAAGGTACATGTCCCCTAAGGGGAGCTTTGGCCTATCGAAGAAGGTCAAGGAAGTGTTCCGGAGGAAGTGAGGATTGAGCTAAGATGCGAAGGGTGAACCAGCCTTAAGCTGGGGAAGGTTGGCCACTCTGTGGGGTGGGAGCTGTGGAATCATAGCTGTGCTGTACAAGAGGGTGCTGAAGCTCTGACAGCTTAAATGACTTCCGTTAAGTCATATGGAAATAAAACTTAGGATTTGAACCCAGATCCGACTGAGATCATCACCCAAGTGTTTACCTGCTACACGACAGTGCCAGGTGGAACAGTGCCAGGCTTGTGCATAGAGTGCAGGAGCTGCCAGGAGCATGAGGCCAGATACAACACACTGCGTTCATCCCTGACCTCTGACATGTGGGAACTGGCTGGCCAGGTTCAGGCATTTAGGGAGCTTTCGAAGACCTGCATGAAATCTGTTCAGTCAGCGGGGCTGCGTGAAGGAAGAGTGAGTTCCACAGCTCAGACAGGTGACTGCTGCAAGGCCCTGCAACCTTTAAGGAGAGAGGAGTCATCGATTCAGCTCTTCTACTTTAAGTAATGAATTACCTCAGTTTATGAGGTTTGAAGGGAAGTGGTGGAAAGTTGCAGAAGATGATAAGCTATTCCACATTCTGAATGTTACAGCTAGGAAAGAAAGTGATGACAGTGACCCCCCCAGTGATACTTTCCCTGTCTCTCTTTCTGCTTGTTTCTTTACTCTGCAGAACAGCTAACCGGAAGCTACATGACAGTAATGATGGCCTTAGAAGTGCCCTTGAAAACAGTTACAGCAAATTCAACAGATCTTTGGTATGCCACATAGTTTTTTATCCTGTATTTCATTCTTTCTAGTGGTGGAGTATTTTGGTGTTGATGAAAATAATGTAATTTCTTAAAGGAGAACGTCACGCAAATCCTTATAATAATGAGAAAATCTTTATGTAAAATAAAACGAGGCAGCATTGTTCCAAATTAAAAAGTATACTACCCTTCTGAAGAAATAAGTGTCTCGATGTTAACCAACTCTTTTTATAGATGTTCTAGGAATCTAGAGATAGGTGTGTAAAATGTAATCTTTGGCCTGAAAGAGTTTATCATGTAGTAGGAAGTTAAGATGTACACAGATGGATAGGAGAATCCCAGAGAGGTGAAAATAAAATAGTGCCCAGTTGAGAGCTGGGAGAAGGTGCTTCTGTCTGAGGGGTGAGTTTAGACTTGTGAGTATTCTTTATGTCAGTGAGATGCTCAGAATGGGAGCCTTGGATTTCAAACCCTCCTACAGAAATCAGCGTAGCTCATTTGGAATTGTAAGGACCTCTCCCAGACTGCATTTGTCACGAGGCCTCTTATCCCACTTGTGGAAGTCAGCTTCATGTGTGAGATTCCAGGGTCATATTGAGATATGGAGGGGTCAGTCACTAAGCCAAATTATGGTTCAAGAAGAGACATGTTCAAGGAAGTTGGTGGTTCACGGTCCTGGCAATGTGGGGAACCACAGTACTCCTTTATGGAATGTGCAGTAGGGTTTGGACGTAAGATAGGATGAGGAGGCGAGCATACTATGGCAGTCATCTTCGTCGCAATGTTTCCCTTGACTTTTTTGCTCACATTTGCTCAGGTAGTGTAATATAACTTTTAGTTATATTAGAAGTTTGAATAGTGTGATATGCTTTTAAAAAGTGGGTTTGTGTGTGCCTGTGTGTATATAAAGTGTTTACATCAAAATTACATGAACTAACAAATAATTACTTCTATATTACAGCGTATAAATAATATCTCACCAGGGAATACCATTTCTAGAAGCAGTCCCAAATTCACTGGTCATTCCCCTCAACCTCTAGGCTATGACAGGTATGTTAACACGTCCTCACTTTTTGTTCGAGTTCAGGATCACAGTTAAAAGGAAAGTAAATTTCCTTGGAGGTGGATTAAAATAATAGAATACATTTTGGTCACTAATTTATATTTTCTGTGATGTTAAAAGTTTCTAAAACATGAATCATGTAAAAATTAAAAGTGTTTCAGAGAGGCAAAATTATTTCCTGATGATGTTATGAGTTGGTTTTTTGTATGCTCACCATTACCTCATCTCTAATCATGTCTTGTTTCTTAGAAGTAGACTCAATAAGAGATGTTTCAGGGATGCAAGTAGAATTATGGTATATGATGCTGCAGTATTTCTGGTGTATAATGTTGAAGCTTTTGGCATGATCTGTAAATATTCAATAGCTCAGCATAATATTATGTGAGCTATGTTGCAGAAAAGGGAAACTTTCAAAGCAAATATAAATATGGCTAGTAGATCCTTATAAAATAGCTACTGTATTGAAGGAGTCACAGAGGCTTACCAAAAGTTAGAATTTAGCCCTGCATTTAATCAAATGAACTGAAATATTAGGCCTTTTATTACGTGAGACCTATAATCACTTAGAGATTACACGAGTGTATGTGTATGTTTATACACATATGTCCAGTGTTGCTAGTTAAAAGTTAATTTTGTAATATGTCAAAAATTTGAAATTGGAAGTGAAAGCATAAACATAAAGTTTCCAATTCTCTATATCTTTGTGACTTTTAGCTTCATGTTTATCCCCTTTTCATTGGGATACTTTTGGTAACAAGAATAATGTACTTAACATCCTGGTGTTAGAAATGGTCATGTTGCCATTTAGGAAGACCTGTTACGAAGGCTTATTGGTGACCACTTCCAAGAAAATTCTATCAGGTTTAAGTTGTTTCTACTGTTTACTGATTTGCTCAATAAAAAAAAAATCTAATGGCTTGATTTATAGATAGCTGACTATTCTGTTATTGAGAAATAATAGATTTTTTTAAATGTGTAGGTGTGATGTCATTTTTGACTAATATTTAAAATGATTCTAAGCAAATTGGGGGGAAAGGTATACAACTGAAAAGTATTTCAGAAATTTCACTGTGATTCATTTTGAAAAGATTAGACACCATGAAAGGCTCATAAGAACTGGAGTAAAGCTCATCAACAAAACATTCTATGGGACAAAGTCATCACGTCCCCAGCATGTTTGAGTGATGTAGCACTCATGTGCCTACTTCCTTGAGCTGTGATGAGAGACCACCATAGCCTCAACACCATGCCCTTTCTGGGTGTGTGTGTGTGGGGGGGGGTGATTATTTTGATATAAGAAGTTAACATTTTATTTTATTTTTGATGCTGATATAAAAATGTAATAAAAGCATGTACATAAAATTAGATGTACAATAAAATTATATTGTTTTTATAGCTTTATTTGGTTTTATCTTTAAAATTTATGTTGGCTTTGTTTTTTGCAAGAACTCTAACAAAAATTTAATTTGTTTTGTAATTTTACATAGTTAATTATAATGAAAATATTGAGGGGTGGCAAGATGGTTGACTTTGAAAAGAATATGCAGTTCAATTGAGTTTGAGAAAGTTTGACCTGTACCTGTGTTTTTATTTTTATTATTTTTACTTTGAAAAATTTTTCAACTTTTATTTTAGATTCGGGGGTACTTGCACAGATTCGTTACATGGGTATATTACGTAATGCTGAGTGTGCCTATATTTTCAATTTAGAGTCTAGATGTTTATTCAGGTGAATTCTTAATTTGGGACTTCATGTTTTCTTTGCTCCTTGTCAAAATACAAGTGGGCTTAAAATAAATCATAACCAGTAGTGAAGACATGGAACTGAAGTAGTTTGTAGTAGATTATAACTAGAATGGTTTTCTTATGTACTTTACAGATGGACCTAAAATCAGTTTCAGAAGGAGAGTTTTATAAATAATGCAATAATATGTTAGCAATATATTTTCAATGTTATTGTTAATAATACATATTAACAATAAATATTAAAATATATTAATGTATTTTATTATTGTTATTCACAATATATTAACACACACTCACATGCACACGTGCACACACCTAGCTAGCTACATAGATTGAGATATGATATAAAATTCTTGACTCAGAATAAAGACTTTATAATTGAGCAGTATTGAGAGAGAGGAAGTTAAATCATCTTTTTAGTTAATTTTAAACATTTGCTAATGGCATAAAAATACTTTTGACTTCTCAGATTTACATGGCTCATACTTAATTATATTAAGCTCACCTCTCATCTAAGCATGTCTACTTCTTGTTTCTCATATCTGAAGACCTATGTATCGTGCTTATTCTCCCTTTCCAATGATTCATGTAAGTGTATTGGTAGGATGGTGCCCATGGTGTGTAGTGGGTGGTAAATAAGTCATAACCATCATTGGTAAACTTAGATTCTTATGGAAATTAAATGGAAAAGCAAAAGTAAACAGGGATGTATACAGTTTCTTTTGATTCTCTTATTCGATGTGAATTTCTCCCTCACTTATAACATCTCCAGAGTTTCACTAATGTTAAGATCTATAGAAGTCAGGAGTTCAAGCCTTTATCTGAGGCACCTCCCTCCCTATGAAACATTTCCCGGAGGGGTGTTTCCAGACGGTGTGTCAACATTTAGTGGCAGAAAACTTAGTGTCAAATCATACATTCCAGCAATG